ATAAAGCATTATAAAACATAATCATGCGCATATACTGTACACACATATATGCATGCATAAATATGATTTGAGCTGTTCACACCAAACTTCTCCAAAACATCGACTGACACAATGCACAATGGCCCTGAATGTGCAGATTGAGTGACAAGCAGAGAGTATTTCTGATTGGCTAAAAAAGCACAGGTCCGCCTGCCTAACTCATGACTGTCACAGCGCCAGCCTCACAAAACCCATTCCAGTAATATCTGTCAGGTAGCAGCCACATTTATTGCGTATTCCAAAAATTCCAAAATGCGAAATGGCTTCGAGCACCTTTAAAGGAAAAGCATAGAAACACAAATCCCAGCGAGCCGGAGGGATCAGTGTTTTCCTCCTGGCCTGTGATTTGTCATTTTCTCTGATCCCTCCTCCCGCCTGCGGAACGTCTCGCTGTTCCTCACAGAATATGAGCACGCTCTGTCTGTCATGTGCACTTAAACTCAGAATAACATGACGTACAGAGAGACAGCGAGGAGAGCAGGTGCTTACAAAACTGCTGCCAAACATCCTGAAACAGACACATCACAGTGACCTGAGCCCAATGAACATCCCACACACACGAACAGACAGCATTCACTGCAGGCCAGTCAGCTCAAATACTGTCATGACAAGAACCTTACTGAGCAACATTCAGTTTAGTGCCATTTAAATACCCATGCCAACATTAAAGGGGTCATATGATGCTGCTAAAAAGAACATTATTTGGTGTATTTGGTGTAATGAAATGTGTTTATGCGGTTTAAAGTTAAAAAAACACATTATTTTCCACATACTGTACATTATTGTTTCTCCTCTATGCCCCGCCTGAAAAATTGAAATCGCATCATATGACCCCTTTAATGAAAGAATATCATAAAAATGAAATAGTTTTTGAAAGAAATTAATGCTTTTATTCAGCAAGGGTGCATTAAATTTATCAAAAGTGACAGTAAAGACATTTAACATGTTACAAAAGATTTCGATTTCAAATAAATGATGTTCTTTTAAACTTTCTATTCATCAAAGAATCTTGAAAAATAAAATGTATCACAGTTTCCACAAAAGTATGAAGTAGCCCAACTGTTTTTAGCCATTTTTAAGGTCTTTTTCGCAAGTTTTACAAGCACGGAACATGTAAAATTTATTTCTAAAACAATCATATTTATTATTAAATTAGAATAAATATTTAATATAAAATAATGACAGTAATTATTTTAATTACCAAATTATTAAAATATTATCAAATTATTTAATATTAAAATTCATGAATTAATATAAATTTATAAATGCATACATTTATTGATTTATTTTTTAGAATATATAATTTATTTTAATATAATTCATTTAATATAATTTTCAAGATTTTGTATTCATTTAAAAAATGTAATTAATTTAAAATAATTTAATATCATTCAAATATTACACAATATTACTGTTTTTACTGTATTTTTGATCACATAAATGCAGATTTGGCGAGCAGAAGAGACTTCTTTCAAAAGCATAAAAAAATCTAATAATTCTTAATATTACGATTTATAAATGTATACTTTCATTGACTTCTTTTTAAAATATATAATTTATTTTGATATAATATAATTCGTTTAATATTTTAATTATTTTTTTTCTATTTACAAATAATTAATTAAATATAATTCATTTAATATATTTTTATTTTTATTCATTTTAAAAAATCAGCTTTGCAATCACAGAAATAAATTACACTTTACAAATTACAAAATGAACTGCAACAGAAAACAGCTATTTAAAAATTTTATAATAATCATAATAATTTCTCAATAGTACTTTTTTTACTATATGTTTAAGACTTCTTTAAAAAAAAAAAGTCACTGACCCCAAACTTTTGAATGCTAGTATGCATTAAACGTGCCTAATGTGCAGCAGCTCCATGTTTCTCGGGCGGTAATGATGTTCAACACGAGCAGCAGAAGGAGTCTCTATACGTCTGATCTATGAACTCTGCGATTCCGGGCCGTGTTTGATTGTTGCATGCTCCGTCTGTTCCTCAGGCAGACCTCTGAGGTGCCCATCTATCAGCCTGACAGCAGACTTGGCAAATACAACCAGACACACACACACACACACCGTCTCGCAGTTGGACATAGTCAGGTACAACATCAACAGAATGTTTTCTCTACATGCCCTGCCAGTCCTGCCAGCAAGTTCCTCGAGCAGATGTGGATCTGACATCAGCATCTGCTGATCTTACACCGATCGATCTTACACACTAGACAAATCTCACATCCAGCAAAAGATAT